ATTTCTCGTGCTTTGTTATTTTCTGCATCAAGACTTGTTAAAATCCTTCAAACCATTTGCCATAACACCCTTAAACATCTGGAAAGGGGGCAAATATAATTTGAGGACAACGATCCGGTACTCAAGCCTCAAATTCATTCTTGACGTATTTCGTGATTTCTATTCATAATTGTTTCCATAATTTTGTTGTTGTTTTTTATCCAACCCCTTATTTTCCAACATAATGTTGATAGAAACTAAGGTTGTTCCATCTTACAATTACGCTCCAACTAGAAAATAATTGATTTGGACTGGGGCGAATAAAGCACGTAACGAAGAAATAGTCGAACCTCTGACATCACAACAACGCAAGATCAAATTCTGTGGACCAAGTTTAACAACAAATTTAAGTACAGTCAAGTCTACAGTACCACCAACTACCATAACAGAGCAATTTATTGCTGCAAAGTAAAAAATGAAAGATCGGCAAGAAAAATGTCATATAGAAGTTCCAAACACGTCTGAATTCACTTCCCCCATCTTGAGAGAATAAGCAACCCAACAACTGTCGAGCATGATCCAGCAACTATGCCCACCACAAGCGCAAAAGCATAGACGAGAGTCGGAAAGTTGAAGTAGTTTTGGATTCTCCTCAATCCTTTGTCAATCGCAGGTGCCAACGCAGCTGCTCCTGCCACTCGAAATGGTCTCGTTACATTGTTCCCAGTCCACATCAAAATTACGATCTAGATTAGGAAGAGTTAAGGCACAAGTAAGAGGCAGGCTATAACGGATTTGGTAAATCAATAATCACCATAAAAAATCAGCTTTCTCGATTAGACAAACCAGAAGTATTGAACTCATTTGTGAGTTCGTGGTGGCTGCACTAAATATGATCATACACCACCTCAAAATAATGTGTGACGCTTCAATAAGCCTAAGAAATCTCAATAAATCAAAGCAAATTGGTTTCTTTTTTTGTTAATCCTGCTAGACACGTTTGCTAAGCCCAGGAATCTCAATATTAATTACAACTGTATTGCCAGGGAATAACATACGCACCTTCCATCGAGTAGACTTTGAAAGCCCGTAGAAAGTTATTTTGTGCTTTCTATTGAAATAGTCTTGCCCAGTTCAACCTACTGCATCTAAATATGCACTTCATTTGTAAGAAATTACTCAATCAAAACAATGTGTTGAAAACACATTTTAGACAACCTTATCTTCAATGCAACAAAGAATCCTTGTGTGGAAATTAGAAGCCTGTACATCTTGAAACTAAGGAAGATTCACATTACTAGCACCTTTGTTGTGGAATTAAGATTTCTAACTAAAAGTAGTAATTATTAAATTTAGAATGACTAGCATAAGTAGTAATTATTAAATTTAGAATGACTAGCATTACTCAAATATTAAAAATAGTAAATCTTGGATTATTCTTGTTCTCCCATCAGTCCTATTTCATCATTTGTCTTCATAAATGAATAAGATAACGATTTTTTCTACATTTTTGTGCATTCACCATCACACATAAAATATATTATGGTGTTGGGTATGATAATATCAAATTATCAATGAGCAAATCACCTTGAACCAATGCTATAAAATCAAGTAGCCATTAGAGATAAATAAGGCAATGTGGCTGTTTGAATCAACTCACCAACAAGGAGCAAAATGTTAGAGGCTGTTGGAGTTAATGCACACAGCTTATCAGTAGGAAT